AAGCACCGAACCTCATCCTGCTCCCTATAGCCTAGCATGGTTGAGACGAGGTAATGAAATTCGTGTTACTAGCCGTGTGTTGGTATCTTTTTCTATTGGCAGTGTGTATCGTGATAGTGTTTGGTGTGATGTGGTGCCGATGGATGCGTGTCATTTGTTGTTGGGTCGTCCATGGCAGTTTGATAGGGATGTGTGCCATGAAGGGCGTCGAAATGCATATACATTCACCTTTTCGGGTAAAAAGATTGTACTACTGCCCTCCAAAGATACGCAGTGTCTGTCTTCGGCAGGGGACAGTAGTAATCTCCTTTCCCGATCTTTGTTTGTGCGTGAGAGGCTGGCAGAAGGTGTTGTACTGTTGTTAGTGAGAACTGAGGCGACAGGAGTGTCGACAGTTCCTATGGCAGCCGAGGGGACGGGTCTTCACCCCAAAGCTGTCGCCTTGGTGTCTGAGTTTCATGATGTGTTTCCGGATGACCTTCCACAGGGTCTTCCGCCTTTGCGGGATATGCAACATCACATTGATTTGGTACCGGGCGCGTCATTGCCTAATCGCCCACATTATCGAATGAGTCCAGTGGAACATGAGGAGTTGAGGAGACAAGTAGAGGAATTGGTGCAGAAGGGGTACATCAGAGAGAGCCTCAGCCCGTGTGCAGTCTCCGCACTCCTAGTGCCAAAAAAAGATGGGAGTTATACACATCCGGGCCATCAATAAAATAACAGTTCGTTATCGCTTTCCGATACCGAGGCTAGATGACTTGCTTGATCAGTTGGCCGGCGCAACTGTGTTTACCAAATTGGACTTGAAAAGTGGTTACCATCAGATAAGAGTTCGTTCTGGTGATGAGTGGAAGACAGCATTTAAGACATGGGAGGGATTATTTGAGTGGCTAGTTATGCCGTTTGGACTATCCAATGCACCGAGCACGTTCATGCGGGTGATGAACCAAGCACTTCGACCGTTTATTGGTAAGTGCGTTGTTGTATACTTCGATGACATATTGGTGTACAGTGGGTCGGAGGAGTCTCATGGTGTGCATCTAAGGGAAGTCCTTACTGTTTTACGCAAGGAGAAGTTCTTTGCAGCCAATAAGAAGTGCGTGTTCTATACTGATAGTGTTTTGTTTTTGGGGTATATTGTGTCAGCCGGTGGGGTAACGGTGGATGCAGCTAAGGTTGATGCGATTCGGCAATGGCCGCGTCCACAGTCAGTTTCTGATGTACGGAGTTTCCACAATTTAGCGTCGTTTTATCGACGATTTATTCAGCACTTCAGCACCATCATGTCTCCCATTACTGATTGCATGAAGGAGAGTAGGTTTCAGTGGACACCCGAGGCTGAGAAAGCGTTTTTGATCATTAAGGAGCGTCTGATTTCAGCCCCAATACTTGCCTTACCTGATTTCACAAAACCTTTTGCATTACATTGTGATGCCTCTAAATTGGGTATCGGAGCTGTCCTCAGTCAGGAAGGAAAACCAGTAGCTTATTTCAGTCAGAAGTTGGCAGGGGCTCGTGGGAGGTATAGCACTTACGACGCAGAGCTTTATGCTGTTGTTCAGGCCATTCGCCATTGGCAACATTATCTGTTTCAGCGAGAATTTGTCTTATACAGCGATCATGAAGCCCTCAAGCATTTCTCAAGTCAGGAGTTTGTATCTGCCCGTCATGCATCATGGGTTGTCTTTTTGCAGCAGTTCAACTTTGTCATTAAACATCAGGCTAGTTCTTTTAATCGTGTGGCAGATGCGCTCAGTCGGCGACATGGGTTATTAGAGCAGCTACAGGTAGCGGTCACCGGGTTTGAGACCTTTGTCTCTCTTTATGCTGATGACCCTTATTTTGGCCCCATCTATCACAGTTTACTGTAGGGACCCCATTCCTCTTTTCTGTTAGAGGATGGGTATGTGTTTAGAGGTGTTCAGTTGTGTATACCAGATTGCAGTCTTCGTCTGAAATTGATTGAGGAGTTTCATGGTGAAGGTCATGTTGGGCGAGATCGTACTTTGGCTTTGATTAGCGCTTCATTTTTCTGGCCTACTATGTGTCGTGAGGTGAAGAAGTTTGTCTCACGATGCAGAGTGTGCCACGTGGCAAAGGGGAAAGCCACAAACGCTGGTTTTTATCGACCCTTACCAGTGCCTTCAGCTCCGTGGACTAATATTAGCATGGATTGTCTTGAGTTTACCGCGCACACAACGTGGTAATGATTCCATCTTTGTGGTGGTAGATCGTTTTTCTAAAATGGTGCACTTCATTCCCTGCAAGCGCACCACTGATGCTGTCAAGGTTTCTCAGCTATTTTTCAGAGAGATTTATCGGTTGCATGGGTTGCCCACTTCCATTGTGTCTGACAGAGACACGAGGTTCATCGGTCACTTTTGGCGGAGTTTATGGAAGTCAGTTAACACGTCGCTCAATTTTAGTAGTGCCTATCACCCTCAAACTGATGGGCAAACAGAGGTAGTTAATCGTTCTTTGGGTGACTTGTTGCGGTGCTTGGTTGGGGATAATCTACACTCATGGGATCAGCAGCTTAGCCAGGCAGAGTTTGCGTATAATCATGCTAGAAATAGAAGCACCGGTTTCAGTCCGTTCCAGGTTATGTATAGTATTCTGCCCCGCAGCCCTGTTGATTTATTGACTCTGCCCTCTAAGACTCGGCTGCATGGGACAGCTGTTGACTTTGTTCGTAGTTTGCAACAAATTCACGAGGAAACACGAGCTAATCTGCTCGAGTCCAACCGTAAGTATAAAGAGGCGGCTGATCGGCATCGACGTCCTGTTGAGTTTGACGTTGGGGATTATGTTTGGGCGGTACTGACTAAGGATCGAGTGCCATCTCATGAGCATTCGAAGTTATCACCTCATACCATTGGTCCAGTGGAAATTGTGGAGAAGATCAACCCCAACGCCTATCGCCTTCGACTTCCTTCCCATATACGGACTTCTGATGTGTTTAATGTAAAGCATCTTTTACCATACCATGGAGACAACGTGGGAGATAGTGCTACCGGTTCTGATTCGAGGGCGAATCCCATTGACCCCGGGGAGAATGATGAGGTTTATGTGGAGGAACAGGCATTGGCATACATGGAACGGTTGGATGGTCGGCTTTCAAAGAAATTGATGTAACTTTTGCGTTTGGTGTCTGTTTTGGGCCCATAACCCCATTTCGGAAAGGTAGCGAGCGTTTCGGGTTGAACTCACTGCTTTGCTGTGACGTACGAGGGTTTTTGGGCATTTGAAGTCGTTTAGTGTGTCAAAAAAGCATTTTAAGTTTTTGTGTTATTTATTTCCAGCATTTGTTATTTTCATTTTGTAGCCCAGCCCATTTTGGGACTGTTGGCCCAGTAGATTATCTTTTCTTTCATATTTAAGATGCTGCAAGACGCCTCCTAGGGTTTTCTTGATTGTTCACGAAATAATAAAACTTTGTTTCTGAATTCAATCCGTTTGGTTATTGTTGTCGTGTGTTTGTAAATTCAATCTACATCAATCATTAACTTGTGAACTGTTTAAATCTATGCCCCTGTTTCCAATTTGTAATCATGTAGAGCAACTAAGGCTAAAATCAGTCTCATGGTCTTGTATTTGATCACTGGCGAGAAAATCTTATTATAGTTTATGGTTTCCCTTTGTGCAAACCCTCTAGCAACTAAACTAGATTTTTATCTAGGTGTTTCATTTGTGTTACTATCTTCTTTCACTTTATATAACCACTTACACTGCACAATTCTTTGTTTTTTAGGCTTATGAACTATCTGCAAAGTTTCGTTTTTTATTAGGACTTCATTTCTTCCCTCATGACATGAAGCCACTTTTCAGACTTTGGGGCCAGTTATGGATTCCTCATAGGTTAATGGTTGGTTCCTCTATAGCTTCACCTAAAACTAAGGCATGTTCAATTAGATTTATAGACTGGCATCTAAAATTTTGGTCTGACCGGCCTCATTTTGTCTCTCCTTGACCAATTGATAATTTCATTTATCAACTTAGTGCTCAACATTGGTTGAATTTATGGTTTCAACAATTTCAAGTGGTTCTTGGGTTTGTTCTCTTCTAAATTTGGTTCAGTAATTTCCAGGTTAGGCTCATGTAGCTTCATCTGAGTTGAAACTCCCTTAACTTGAGGTTTTTCTGAATCTCTTTTTACAGTTGTATCCAAGTTATTTTTAGCTTTAAAGCATATCATTTTAATCTCATTAAACACTATATCTCTATTGTTTATGATCTTAATGCCTCTATCACCTAACACCCTCTCCACAAAAATCTCTGCCCCTTGTTTCCCAAGTGCCTCATTCTTCCGTTCCATAGATCGGATCTGTCCTCATTTACTGAGAGCAGACTTGGATCATTGGCCTTTTGTGCTTCCCCTTGCAAATAGTATAAATCATTTCTCTTGGATTCTCTCATTACCACTAATGAGACTTTATGACCTTTGAAATACGACTTTCATTCTTAAATTAGTATCCCTCATCTTTTAAGACCTTTCTTCTAAGATTGGGCACAAATCTGAGTTTATATATGATCTGACAATGCATTATGCATTTTGATATCTTTTCAAGGTTCTATTGTACTTCATAATTCTCTTCGACAGCTTCTGTTGCAACTCATCTTTAATTTCATTTGAATCCAGTAGTTTTATCCTTTATGATGTCCACCTAGAAGATGCTTTAATAAAAGTCACATTTTGTGATGTACTCTTGGGATTGGTCGTCATATTCCACGAATATTCACCTGATACCTTCGCCGTTAAACTTAATAGGCATGAACACATATAATAAACGCATGCAAAGACTTAACATTCAACAATTTCTTGAAGGGGTAACATGAACCCTAAGTTCGGTTGATGAAGTTATTGATCATACATGCTGCTGTCTTTGTACAGTCTGCTTTTATATATTAAATTTTTCGTTTTAAAATAATTATAGAAGTAATAGTAAATTATACAAAACGGCTAATGATAATAATACATAAGAAGATCATTATAATCAATGTCGATTTTCGGTATTTATATAAGTGAACAGTAATAAAAACTTTTGCCTAGCATTGCTTTGATGCTCTAATTTTGAAACATACAAAAATTTTGAATCAAAAGCTTACCAAACACTTGAATGATTCTTGTTGTAGCAAGCTCTTTCTTCAACACAGCTAACTTGATTCCCATAGAATCTTTAGCAATACTAAACCAAGCCTTAACTACTTAAATATTTATCATTGAGATGATTTAAAATCTGCAGCAAATGGGGCAAAATCTCAACTTCAGACTGTGACTTCCATGCAAGGAGCTATGATGGAATATGAAGGCCATTTTGAGCTTGGATTTGGTCAACCCTTGGTAAAAATTTTACTTGTGAATTTCGTATCCATTTTCGGAATTTTACATCAATGAAATCTTCTCTGTTTTCTTTTTCTTTGAATTGCCACAGATTTGTGGAAAATATCCACTTGCAGAGCAGTGTTATGGAGTATACTCAACTTATGGACCCCAAGCTGAGGTTGGAATGGAATTTTGAATTATATCTACATATATACTCAGGGATTAAATAAACGTCATTCTCTGTCGACCATTTCAGGGCCGCGTCATGCTACTACCATTGAATATGACTACAGATGAAGGGCCAATATTTGTCAATGCCAAGCAGTACCGTGGAATTATGAGGCGCAGACAATCCCGTGCCAAGGCAGAAATGGAGAATAAGGTGCTCAAACCTCGTAAGGTACATAAAAGTTCTTATGACACTTTTAAACGTTCTCTCTCCTATCAGCTACAAATCACTGTAGCCATTTGATCCTTGAAAATGTTAGTTTCTGTTTTGTGCGATAATTGATAAAGAGCATCAATCTCTTCATGAGAATTTGGGACTAGCAGATCCTTTTTTACCTTACAATTCTCTTATACGATGCACTGAAGAGCATTAATAACCATCATGTCATCAATTATGGCCTATCAAACATGTACTTGGATTCCTTCGAGTTTATCGATCTTGGTCATAAGGTACATAAAAGTTCTTAGGATGATGCTTGCTGTACACCATGCCATATAGGTGTACAGCCCCTCACACACGAGGAGGTCCAGGTGGGCCCCTCGTGTGTGAGGGGGCTGTACACCAAACTGTATAAGCATGTTGTACAACCACCTTAATCTAAGTTCTTATGACACTTATATGCTATCAACCGCTTTTTGGCTCTTCAATTTATAAATAAGGGTAAACAAATCATTGCAGCCATTAATTCGTTAACATGTTAGTTTCTGTTTATGATAATTGATAAAAATCCATGATGCACTAACATGGATACATGTCTCTGATACGATATGTGTCAGATATGTTGACATGTGATTTTTCAAAAAGTACTGACATGATACATTGATTAAATTCTTTAAAATTTTTCATTTATACAATATAATTTTAGTTTATATTTGTTATTAATTTTTCTTATTGAAATCTTTTAATATGAGTACCTATTTGTTATTTAGTGATAATTTTGTGTTAAAAATATATAATATTTTTAATAAAAAAAGAAACAATTATTATGGTAGTGTGTTCGAGTAGTGTCAGTATCGACACATATTCAACACATAACGGATATGGACACACTACCCTAGTTGACGTGTCCGATAAAGATCTTCACTAGCATCATGAGAATTTGGGACCTGATATTATTAGCAGATCCTTTTTCACCTTACAGTTCTCTAATACAAATGTTTGGTAGGGGAAATACTGGATGCACTGAAAAGTATTAAGAAATCCACCATGTCATTGAGCACTGCCTGTCAAACATCATTTAGAGGACTCCTTTGTGTTTATCAGTATTGGTCATGTAGTGCCGATATCAACTATCAAATGGTTGCTAACATTTCCCTTTACTTTACCATTCCCCAGCAATATCTGCACCTGTCCCGTCATCTCCACGCAATGCGCCGTCCAAGAGGCAACGGTGGGCGATTCCTCAACACAAAGAAGGATGGCATTCAGGATAATACTGACATGAACAAGACTTACGAAACACAACTTCCACAGCCCACTGGATCCCAGATTTCCGAGGTTCTTCAATCTAATGGAGGAAACTCGACTTCATCGAAGGACAGCAGATCAACAAATCCAGGTTCAGAAGTTTTCCGTAAACTATTTCCCATGGGCAGTCTTCATTCCTTTCAATTTAATCATCTCCACCCTTCATTTCAGCCCCCGTCGAATATGGCGAACGCTGGCCATGGCATTGTCATGGACAGTAAGTGGATTTGAAGGCAATCTGAAGGGTTATGTGTGTGCCGCTGGCACAACATATATACCCTCTCTTCGTCTGCAATCATTTTATGTGGTTGCTAGGCAACTCATTCTTGGCTATTTGCGTGTTCACGTAAAAGATAGATAAAATCTCTCTATACAAGTTTGTGATATATGGATATGATCCCGTTTCTTCCCAAATTAGATGTATCAGAAAAAGCTTGGATTGTCAGTTCCTGATGATGCTGCGCTGTGCTGAAATTCTGTCTGGTGATTGTATTTGAAAATTTGAGCACTTCAGTACTCTTTGTATAATAACTAGAATTGTATTCTCAAATAATGGTAGATTTGAGTGTGTTAAATCTATTTCACATTTCTAATTTATCGGATGGAAACTTTTGTGCGAATTGTAACGAACCAAATTTTAAAGTTTAAATCGTTACCAAATTTATTTATTTCAATGGTGTATGCACGTGAAATTAACGAGCACAAATTAATTAATATAAGAAACTCATAGTCAAAATAAAATGGATTCCAAAAAAAAAAAAATACTACAAATCATGCCTATCACATTTATTAGATAAATAGTAAAATGATAATTTAACTAATATAACTTAACACATATTGAAATTTATAACCCAATAAATCTTGTCATAAATTTCTAAATAAAAAAGACCTTATGAAATAAACTAAGATAATGCTGAAAATAAAATGTCTTGTTACACCGGATTATTTTATTGAGTTCTATAAATCCTAGCACCACAACTGCACCTTATTGTCTGTCAACCAACGATTCGTTCTAACCTATGAGTAGGGAAAATTGTGAGTACATGGAAATACTTAATATGATACAAAAATAATGGTACAATCCCGAATAAAAATATTTGAATCATACGTGAAAAAATATCATATCCCCATCATATCTTTATGGATCGATATTTTTGACATTTTTCTGTCCATTGAAACGTCACCCCTTTCTAGTCAACTGAGTCATCAGCCTACTATTTTTTAGAAACCCTCAATAAATCTTCTATAATAGTCAGCCAATTCCAAGAAACTGTGAACTTCACCCAAACTAGTCAGTCTAGGCCAATTTATTACTGCTTTCAATTTAACTGGATCTACCTCAATACCCTGAGCGATAATCACATGACCAAGAAAATTCACTCAATCAAGCTAAAATTCACACTTCTTGAATTTGGCATATAACTTTTCTTTCCTCAAAGTTTTGAGTACTACTCGGAGTTGTTCCTTATGTTGCTTCTTATTTTTGGAATACACAAGTATATCGTCAATAAATATAAGGACGAACTGGTCTAAGTACTTGTGGAATACTTGAGTCATTAGATCCATAAATACAACTGGAGCATTGGTCAAATTAAAAGGCTTGATAGTGAATTCATGATGTCCATAACGAGTCCTAAGGACATTTTCGGTATATCACTTGCCTTGATCTTCAGCTGATGTACCCTGACCTAAGTAGATCATTGAAAACACTATCGCACCCCTTATCTAGTTAAATAAATCTTCTGTTTTTGGCAACGAGTATATATTTTTTTATAGTTAGATGGCTCAATTCTTGATAGTCAATGCACATTCTCGTACTTTCATCATTCTTTTTTACAAAAAATGTTGGAGCGCCCCATTGAGATATACTCGGTCGAATGAAACCTCTTTCCAGTAACTCCTCCAACTATAACTTCAATTTTTGAAGTTCTTTCAGTGTCATTTGGTACAGGGCCTTAGATATTGGTGCCACTCTCGGAACCAAGTCATTGTAAATTTTACTTGTCTATCTTGTAGAATGCCCGATAGATCTTCTGGAAATATACCTGCAAAGTTTTGCACAATGTTAATATCCTTAATAGTTGTTTCAGTATGTTCGGAACCAATAATATTAACTAAGAATCCCTGACACGACTCTTTTCTCAGCATTTTCTCCGCTTGTGAAGTTGATAGAAGGCGAGATGGATACTTGAACTTTGCTTCAAAGAAATGGAACTCTTCCTCTCTCGATCTATGAAAAAACACTTCTTTCTCATGACATGAATGATCGCATGATTGAGTTCCAACCAATCCATGCCTAAAATAACGTCGAAATTTTCATCTCCAAAAGGTGTAAGTCCGCCTGTCGTATTTACCATCAATCTTTAACTTCATAGCCTTAGTCATTTGATTTGTGCAAAGAGTTCTTTCTGAAGGGATGCTAACCTCTAATTCATTATTCATTTTCAAACATGTAAAGTTAGACCTAGTGATAAAAGATGCAAAGATAAAAGAATTTGTCACTTCAAAGTCAAAAAGTACGTAAGTAGGTACATCAGACAATAATAAAATACTTGTTTTCGTAACTATAGTGTTAGGCTTAGCGGTGGAGGATGTAAAGTCAAGAACATAAACATGTACTTCAAATAATAATAAAGTATCTACTATCATATTCAGATCTTGCTCCGCCTCATGCTGATTTAGTGCAAAAACCCGGGCATTCCCTTTATTAATCTTGTCTTGATCATCATCCTTCTTATTTGGAAGCTTTGTACAGTTGAAAGCAATACGTCCTGGCTTACCACATTGAAAAAATATGTTCCTCCCAAGTACATCATTCATCATTTGGAGTTTATTACACTTAGGATAAGGTGTAATACTTCCATTCATCTCACCGATAGTCCAATACGAACTCCTGTGCTTAGTCTTTTATTCTCCTAGTTACTTATGTCTTTGCGCTGATCATTCCATTTTTTCCCAATGACCTCTGCTGGGCATAATGCTCAAATGTAGTCCTCTGATATAAAATAGTATGAGTCATCTCCAACATTTCACGATATGAAGAGAAATGATAGGATCATGTCGATCTCTAGGCATAGTCCATTTTCGAACCTCCTGATTTTTTCAACTACTGTATCTACCAAATGTGGGACATACATTGGGAGCTGCTCAAACTGCATTTCATAATCAGTTAGCAGCATGTCTCCCTGTTTGAGCTGTAGAAAATCTGATTCTTTAAAGTCTCTCAAAGCTTGTGAAAAGTACTTTGTCATCACTTCATCCTTAAACTATTCATAAGTCAAGTTACGCTGCTGCTCTTGGGTCCTAGTGCGTAAGACAAATTCCCAGTAGTGACAAGTTGCTCGAATAAACATAAACTTTGCACATAGTAACTTCTGTACATCTATATAAGCAAATGTCGAAAGACGCTCTCTAGACCTCTAATCCATTCTTCAAAGACCAGTAGGCTGGAACCACCGGCAAAAGTAGGAGGCTTGCACCTACAAAATTGCTCAACAAATGATACAGTTCCAGAGACAAACGGAGGTGCCTATGGCGGTAAATTTTGTGGTGGGGTGCTTGATTCTGTCTGCTCAACTTTTGTACCACTCGCAATAAGTCACATATCAAATTCGTGTGGATAAATGGTGTCATTTCTTAAAAGAATTGTAATCTTAAGTCACGTTACATACCAGTACCTAGTCTAACATGTTATACCTATATTCTCATAATATAAATCATAATTTCAGTGAGAAAACAAACGTGCATGTCTTAAAAATTTAAATGTAGGCAATTTAAAAGATTTAAATTCTACAAAAAGTTTGAATAAATTCATCTTCTTACCTCTTAACATGCCTTTAGAGTCATCGGAGTATGGTCGACTGGTGATCATTGAGTGTCAAAGATCTTTCAAATTCTTAGATACTTAAGACCTTAAATAATACCTTGGCTTTAATACCAAATTGTAACAACCCAAATTTTAAAGTTTAAATCGCTACCAAATTTATTAATTTCAATAGTATAAGCACATGAAATTAACAAGCCCAAATTAATTAATAGAAGAAAATCATAACCAAATAAAATAGATTCCAATATATATATATATATACACATACACACACACTAAAAACCATGCATATCAAATTTATTAGATAAATAATATAATATTAATTCCACTAATATAGTTTAACACATATTGAAATTTATAAACCAATAAATCATGTCTTAAATTTCTAAATAAAAAAAAAATCCTTATGAAATAAACTAAGATAGTGATGAAAATAAAATTTGTTATTACACCGAATTATTTTATTATCATAAATCCTGGCACTACCATTGCACCTCATCGCCCGCCAACCAATGATCTGTTCTAACCTATGAGAAATAGTGGAAAATGGTAAGTACATGCGAATACTCAATAGGATACGAAAGTAACAATGCAATCTCTAAATAAAAGTATTTAAATAATGCGTCAAATATATCGTAGTGTTATCATATCTTTAGGACCCGGTAAGAGCTAAATACATATTAGATCTTTGGTACCGAATGATCATATCATACATATCATATCATAAGTATAATAATTTGACAATACTAAAAGATAATTTAAACGTGATAAAAACAACTGTACCTCGTTATCCTACCTCGTCAGATCAAATAAATTTTTGAAAGATGAAATCCAAAAATCATGTTCCAAATTTTAGTTTTTGTGGTGTGTATATATATTTCAAAAAGATCAAATAAATTTTTGAAAGACGGAATCCAAAAATCACGTTCCAAATTATGTACTATTCACAAAAAGATCTTTTGAATTAAACACACCGCAAGTGTATGGTTCATTAACAATTAATAAAGTGAATGTGAATTCAAGTATCATCCCACAGTGATTGATTTAGTTCGATTTTAATTATCGCGATCTTAATTGAAACAAGAATAACAAGATGTGTTTGTTGTGATGACATTATGACTAAAATAAGTTAGTATGCAATTATAAGAGAATTAAGTAATCTTATTGTAAATTATACTAAATAAAAATTTAATGCGTTCTAATGAATAAAAAATGCTCTAGGATCCCGAATTCCCATACAATAATCTTTTTTAACCTTAGTTTTACACTTTGACAAAAAGATGAAATATTTAAGATTAAATTTTCCTATTTTATTCAACAATCTCTCTCAAGTAATGTTAACATACTCTGATTTATGATCCAACTATATTTCTATGACTGATGTGAACATATAAGAGTGCGTGAATTTTTATGAACACTTAAAGATTCATATATAGCATAGTGGTATATTTTTATCCCCTATCGGATCCTATGGCGATTTATATAATGTCAAGCCTATTTCCCCTTTTATTGAATGCATAAAATAAGCCACCATATCCATACAACTATTGTGCATAATAATTGTGGAGAAAAGAAGATCATATAAATCATTCAATATTCAAAAACATGTCTTTGATGTCAAATATGTAAAATTAAAGATTAAAAACTCAAATTACAATGTTCATCATTCTCCTAGTACAAATAAATATAGCCTAGCATGTTGTAAAGAAGAAAACAAAAGATATAAAAGTTGTTCATTACCCAAAAAATCTTCAATTCAATCTTAATGTGTTCTTTACCTGCTTTTGTAATTGA